AACACACACACACACACACAAAAAAAAACCCTTTTTTTCGTGTGGTGCAAAAATATGAAGAGGAAATTTTTTCTCCTGATAGGAAATTTTTATTTTTCTAAGCCAGTTTATATCTTATCGATTCCAATTCTTAGTGACTTGCAACAGTAACATACCCAGTGTGATCCTGCAAGTGGGATCTGGGGCGGGTAGAGTGTATGCGGACCTTACCCCTACCCTTCTTAATGACTTGCACTAGAGAAAAAATGCATACCATGGGAGGATTTATGTTTGTATCACCAATATATAATTTGAATCAAATTTATCTTAAAATATGTGTCTCAGTCAAATACCATTACATAAAACAGGAGGGTATAACTAAAACCACGAATTGATTATGATACCCCCTTTTTTGTGTTATTCATATGATGCATTTGGAGCTATCAGCAGTAACAATCAATTTAGATATCCAAAACAAAATAGTGGTATTTGGTAGCTACAGCTTGCTCCACCGATAAATAACACGGGGCCCAACGTTGAGAAATACAATAAAAATGGCTCTGATACCATGTGAAGGAATGAGGGGAGGATTGCCAAGACCATATAAGGAGATCACAACCCATTGTGCATCTTTATGTAGATTCCTTTTTAGGAACTCTTGGAGTTCTATGCTATCAATATTTCTTTTTGTTCTTGAGAAATTTAAATAATCAAAGTGCTTTTCTTAATTAGTAAATGTGAAGTGCTATTTTCTTTTTTAGTTCCTTCTTTTGTATAAAACATTACAAGTTATCCTTCTCTTTTCTTTGAGGGGGGTTGGGTTATTGGAGTTTTAATCTGTTTCAATAGGCTCTTAACTAATTCTGATGCTTTGAAAATTTGATATATGTGATGCTTTGAATAGTTCTGTTGCATGATCTAACAAGCTCTCTGTTCCAAGTCTTGATCTGTTTTAAGATAATAATGCCTGAGCTGAAAATCTCCTAAGTTGCTTCAATATGGCAATTTAGGTGCCGCACCCGTGTCGACACGTTCTTCTGTTGAGCCGAGGGTCTCCCGGAAACAGCCTCTCTATCCTTCCAGGGTAGGGGTAAGGTCTGCGTACATCCCACCCTCCCAAGACCCCACTAGTGAGATTTTACTAGGTATGTTGTTGTTGTTGTTGTTGTACCCGTGTCGACACGACACTAGTATGGGTGTGGGTATGGGATCCGTACCTCATCTGGTCAAACAATTTTGGGTACTTTGACCACGACGGATGGAAATATTCGAGACGAGATACAATTTGATTCCCTAAATCAAAACTAAAACTAGGGTAAATTTGAAAAAATATCATACCTTATCTAGGAAATCAATCCTTTACTTATCTACAACTTGAGAATAAAAAGAAATCCAACTTGACAAGCTTTACGTAAGTATTCCACAAAATTTCTCATAATTTAGAAATATTTTTATATTTTTGAATTATTTTTAGCCGGATCCTTGCACCCGTATCCATACTAGGATCCATATCCCCAAATCTTAAAATTTACATCTCGAAGGATCCGACCTCTAGATGCGTACCCGTGTCGGACACCCGCACCCGCGTCCGAACAATTTAAAATCTCTCTGCTACCAGTACATCCTTGGAGTAATGGTGGGAGATCAAGCTATTTGATCATTTATATATAGTTTATGTTTCCACGCTAGAAAAACATCCTACATGATAATCTAAGTAAACTTCCGTCTCTATGTAATGGCAACCAAGAATGTTGTCTGATATCCAAGATGCAGCGGTATCATCTTTCATATTAAGACAATTGCAGTTTGTCAAAATTTTCCTGCATTGAATAGGTGATATGTTCACAGAGGAGCAGAATGAATTAGTTGAATCGGCAGCAGAGATGTTATATGGTTTGATTCATGTTCGGTACATTTTGACTACCAAGGGAATGGCCGCAATGGTAATTTCTTATCACCATTCTCTTGTGTACTTTCACATTTTCCTCTTGATCTTCATCACTGTTTAACCTATCCTTGAAATGATGGTTCCTTGTATCTGTGCCAAACCTTGAAATGATGGTTCCTCATTTCTGTGCCAAACCTTGAAATGATGGTTTCTTATATCTGTGCCAAACCTTTCAGTTGGAGAAGTACAAAAACTACGACTTTGGAAGATGCCCGCGAGTTTATTGCAGTGGACAGCCTTGTCTTCCTGTTGGTCAATCAGATATTCCACGCTCAAGTACTGTAAAAATATACTGTCCCAAGTGTGAGGACATTTATTACCCCCGATCAAAGTACCAAGGCAGTATCCTTTTCTGCTACCGCTTCTTGATGTGTCCCCCCCCCCCCCCCCCCTCCACACACACACACACAATATATATACACACACACACATACATTTATGTGTGTGTGTTTATTAGATGTATTTTCATCCATATATTTCCCTTAATAGCAATTATGTTGTTCTCTAAATCTCTAATGCAGTTCACGCTTATGTTTGGTTGAGCTGCATCCATTTTACATAAGGATTCTGCCCTTGTAAGTTGCATATAAATTCTAACATTAGGTCTGCTCATAAGTTGCATTTTGGTCCTTGTTCGCTTGCCGTGAGTAGCCTATTTCTATCCTTATAGATTTCTTTAACTGCTAAAGATATTGATGGGGCTTACTTTGGGACAACATTTCCCCATCTCTTCTTGATGACTTATGGACACCTGAAGCCGCAAAAACCAACACAAGATTATACTCCTAGGGTGTTTGGTTTCAAGATCCACAAGATTTGACAGTGAAGCCGTTGTGAAGAGATCATATTTTCTGCCAGTAATGATTCTTACCTGGCTTTTGATGTACAATTCGTCATGGTAGAGGCAGTTGAAGCAGAGGAGCTTTTGATAATGATGAAAAATTGTTCTTCGTCGATGAAAGGCAGTTTGGGCCAATCTGTCAAGTGAAATTTGTTCCCAAAATATCGTCGTGAATTTACAAGAGCTTTTGTAAGCTTAATTCTTTACCAGTTTGAGAATTGATTTATGTTTCCTCATCAACCACTTTTCGTGGCTGTCCGTTGATCCTTTCATCTAGCTTCAGAACTTACCACTACCATTTTCCAACAGAGGTACTCATCAGGATTCTAGACTAGTGTTCGTCACGGTTTCACCCTTATTTGTAGGACAATTTCCAGTTATAATGATGTGATTGTATCAAAATTGCTATCCAAGCTAAAGATGTATGCTGATACATAAATCTTGAGGCATGCACCCTTCTTTATGTTTGCATTTTCTGTTTTGAATTATGTTATATTTGAAATATAACAATACTGGCTTGTATGCAGACGAGTGGATTAGGTGCCAGAAGTGTTTAGGGGACAAAAACTGAAAATTGGAGCTAAGTAGCTGTCTCCGTATTTGGCCAAAAATTATAAATTTTGTACATCATTTTTGTTGGACATGACTTATGATGTTTTTCAACGAAACATAAGTTCCATATATGGCAACAAAAGAACCTAAAACTATAATCACCCCAATAAATATGACTTCTATCCCAACACTTCTTGAGTAAGGCTTCCTGATTTTGAGGTAGCAGATACATGGAAACAATATTGACAGACTAATGCCCGTAAATGCACCTATAAATGTCATGACATATTCGAAAAATGGAACGACTAATGCAACAATAACTGTGCTGATGACCAAAACTGTTCTGATGACCAAAACTGTTATAATTGGTGAGACAATAAGAGCGTACTTGGTTATTGGATTGATTGTCGCCGTGTATATTGCAATCTTCGAACTAACTTTTCCAGTGGGGAGATTTAAGGTCACTTGCGACAATAACTTTTGTCCGTACATTAAGTACCCAATTATTGCCATTGATCCATAAGTAATGGTGCTTAGTATAAAGCACAAAAGTAGAACCTGTGGACAAGAAAAAGAAAAATGTCATAGCATATCTAAGACTACAAGTTCTAGAGGTAGTTTTGCTATATATCTGAAATATTTTTCTTTCTTAAGCTCCATACTCAGCCAAATACTGTCATATAAAAAGAAACAGAAAGAGTACATGTTATCAAAAAATTACCTTAGGAAACTGGCTCTTATCCTTCATGGAATTGCCGAGTGTCGGAAAAACTGCATGACCACAATAACAAAAGGTGAACATACTTACCGCAGTCGCCAATCCACTCCATTTCCAAAGTATACCTTTCTCCTGAAAACCCACACCATCTACTGCACCAACCCAAAAAACTACACAAACCAAAAGAATAGACGCCAAAACTCCCCCGAGAGAAACATAAGCCAATAACCCTAAGCTTCTTAACCATGTTGTTGGCAATATTATAAGAGCAGCTAACATGACAAATGTTTCTTTTCCTCCAATTTTAAGGTCACCAACATGAATATTTGCATTTGGGAATAATTTTTGCAAATTGTCACCTTCTAACATGAGGAACTCAACTGCAACTAAGTATAGTTCAAGATACATAAAAGTTGATATTATTATTTTCCCTTTTTTTCCAAAAGCAAATTGACCAATGTCAGCATATGTATTGATTGTCTGAGAGGCACTCATGCATTTTTGTAAAAGTAATCCAGTATAGCAACATAGAATTGCTACCAAGAGAAGTATTATCAAACTTAACCATCCTCCTTCTGAAAGTGCATAGGGTACTGATAGTATTCCAACACCTATATAAACAAAGTATATATGAAAAAGAAGAGTATAAGTCTGATGCATTGACAATGGTGTCAAAAATATTTACACAATTAGGTCAATTATAAGCTAATTAAAAGTAACGGCAGTGAAGGGGAGCCTTGGAATAACCGGTAAAGTTGCTGCCATGTGACCAGGAGGCCACGAGTTCGAGTAGTGGAAACAACCTCTTGCAGAAATGCAGCCTTTTTAGAAGTAACGGCAGCTCGGTGCACTAAGCTCCCGCTATGCACGGGATTCGGGGAAGGGCCGGACCACAAAGGTCTATTGTACGTAGCTTATCCTGCATTTCTGCAAGAGGCTGTTTTCACGGGCTCGAACCCGTGACCTCCTTGTCACATGGCAGCAACTTTACAGTTGCGCCAAGGTTCCCCTTCAAGCAAATTAGAAGTAAACGTAAATAATAAATATTACAGTTGATAACATGATAAAATTGATAAGTATTTATTATGATTAAATTGATAGCGTAAAAACTATTTACTTGTTATTGACATGCAATATATACATACATAAATAACACAAATCCAGAGAGAAATAATGTAGACGTTAATGATATATGTTGAACCAATAGTATAGCCAGAAAAAAAAAAAATCATAGTAAGCGAAATTCCAAATATACATAACAAGAAATTAAATGATTATTACTTCTTTCTTCTATGTATATTTAAAAAATAATAAGACATTAACCTGATAATGCATTAACACCATTCAAGCATGTTCTAAAGAAAGATGTTCCTTTGCTGGGGTCCTCAGATTGTGGGATCTGATTTTGACTCTCAATTCTCTCCATACTATTGGAATCCATATTTTTAAGTGCCCAAATATCAAAATGAAAGCTACACTGTATTTTTGTGGACTAATGGAGAAAGAAAAATATATTTGTACACTGTGTTTTTGTAGATTAATGGAGAAAGAAAGATATATATTTTAAATGTTAAAAAGTTACTTTTCACACACAAAGAGGATCTTGAAAAGAGTTCATATATTGGAGGGGATATGATTAGTTACATTAGAAGCATTCAAATATATACCAAAAAAAAAAAAAAAAAGAGAAAGAAACGTTCAATTTTGACTAGGTTTTACATTGTGGGGTTTTACCCTTCTTTGCAAGAAAATTGCCAATTGTAATTAATAAATAGTATTAAAATCGTTTCCACTTAATTAAGGAATTTTTACACAAATAGTCCGTCATATATATACATAATGTATATATTGATTATACATAATTATATAATATAATACATAAATTATATACATATTATACCTTCACCGGTATTTTTAGTTTAAGAAGTTTGGTAGATGACTATTCGGATTAATACCTCATAATTAATGAAGTGTTATTAATTAATGATGTATGCCGATACATAAATCTATGAGGCAGACACCTTTCTTTATGTTTCTATTATCTTGTTCGAATTATGTTTTATTTGAAATATAACAAGGGGTGTTCATCGGTTGGATCAATAATTTTTTTTTAGATATTTTGGTTCGATATTTTTCATATTCGATTTCTAGAAGGGAAATTACCAGCTATGTCCATTTATAAGTAGCTTATTACAAAAATTGGTCAATTGATAAAATATTACTAATATTAGCCAAATTAGCCAATTAGCTATTTGTAGCAAAAAAATATCAAATTTTTGCTTTGTTTTGAGTGGGTGTTTTAGAATAGATTGGGCACAACTTAAGGAGTTTGAATCTCAGTTTTGAGATGATTTGGTGAAGTTTTGAGGTTGTTTAAATTGAAAATTCGAAGTAAAAGCTGAACATGAAAAAAAATGATATGTGTATCACACTGTGTATCATTTGTGTATCACATATGTATCACATTTGTATCAATTGTGTATCACATGTATATCCATGTATACCTGTGTGTGAGATACTTGCGCGATACATGTTTGATACATGTGCCGCAGAAGACTTTTTTGAACTCGATTTAATTACGAACTTTGATACAAAACCAGTCCAAATCACCTCCAATCTTTCTCAAATTTTGTATATTGACTTATCTACATATTTTCAATGACTTTCAACACTACCCATTGAAAAAGTTCCTTCTTTGTTTAGATTTTTAGAATATTGTATATATTTTGGTATTTTATCACCTTATTTGCTACCCCGTCCATGAAATTTCCTTTCCGTCTTGTATCTAATGTTGCTAATCACGCTTAAAAATATGGAAGGTGATTTTTGCATGTGATTCTTTGAGAGAAAGAACCCTATTATTTGGTTTTTCAATTTTTGTTGGCTAGTTTTGGTAAGTCTATGACTAATGGCTAGAGGTTGGTAAGTTGAGATTTATTTGGGATATTTGTGTAAGTTTCCCTTTCTAGAAATGTTATAAAACTACCATATTTAATTAATTAAATTTAATTTAGTTTCATATATGGCAACAAAAGAACCCAAAACTATAATCACCGCAATAAACATGACTTATATCCCAACACTTCTTGATTAAAGCTTCATGATCTTGAGGTAGCAGATGCGTGGAACAATATAGACAGGCTAATGCCCGTAAATGCACCTATAAATGTCATGACATATTCAAAAAATGGAACGATTAATGCAATTAATAACTGTGCTGATGACGAAAAATGTTCTGATGAAATAGCTCATAGGCAAAGAAATATATCTTCAATGGCTGTTACAATAGGTGAGACAATAAGGGCGTACTTTATTACTAGACTTATTAGCGTTTTGTATATTATAATCTTCGAATTCACATTTCTAATGGGAGATTTAAGATTAATTGCGACATCAAGTCTTGTCCGTACATTAAGTACCCCATTGTTGCCATTGATCCATAAGTGATGGTGCTTAGTATAAAGCACAAGAGTAAAATCTGTCGAGAAGAAAAGGAAAAGGGGATTGTAGCAAACTGTTAATTAAAGTTGGATGAATTATCTTTCTATGTAGTGAGATAGGAGCGGCTCAACGAAGCTTGTAGCCTAGATAAACCTTAATAAGAGATTTTAACTAAATTTAATAAAATTAGCTTCTGTGCATCACACCGGCATTCTGTTCATCACACGTGCATCCCGTGCATCACAAGTGCATCACATGTGCATCTCATGCGTCACTCGTGCATCACGTATTTGTTTGAACAAAAAGTTTAAGACTCTTTTGCCAACTTCAATTATCAATAATAAAGAAGGTAAATCTTAGCCAAGCATAATTAACTTCAGATCCAAACTTATACAGCGAGAAATAACGAAAGGTAGGAACATATTAGATTTATTGATGTGATAATCTTACATCAAACACGAGAGATGAGCTTACATATGAGGCGAAAAAGAATTGTAAATGAAGGAGTAAAGAGGAAAAAGTGAAGCAACTGTTCATCTGCGAGAGATTCTTCTCTTTTTCCCTTCTTCTTCTCTCTGTTTTTCCTCTAAGAAGTGCGCCCCCCTCCTTCTTTCTGAGCTTACCTGCCATATATATATAGTTCCTAGAACTTTTATTCAATGGTCTTTGACCAACATGCTTTCGATGATTTGACTCCGAGGATAGCCGAGGTATTCTTTGTTATTACGCCACCTGGGCGGGATCCCAGCTTGGTTGACCTCCTATCATTCCTATTGGGGGCGACCACTACAGTCAGATTTTAACCCATACAGTTAGTCCCTCCGTCCGTTGAGGTCGTCTCTTAGCGGGTTCGACGGGCGGACTCTGTCGATTCGAAAGTTAGGAGAAATCTGAATATTTACGCCTTGAACGAGGTTTTTAGATCGAGGCGATGGCGTGACGCTTCAATGATACCCTTGGACCGTCGCATCCGTTCGGAGTTGAACCGTTGTGTTGATCCGAAACATCATTTGTAGCCACTGTCATCATGACACACGTTCCTTATGGATTGAACCGTTTCTTGTGCCCTATTTATTTTGATTGGCGACTCTCGGGTTTCCCGCTCGGGGTATTTATGTTCTTATAAATACGGGGAAAACACCATTCTATTGCCACACTTTTCGATCTATCAAAGGAATTTTACGAGTCTTTACCTTCTCCGATACTTCAGATTTTTAGTTCACTTTCCTGTTAGTCGGAAATTGACGTCACCGCCTTCCCTCTTACTTCCCCCTGCTCATTCACTCTGTTCAATCGAGACAAATGGCTGGTACTTCTTGCTGTGCTGACAGACTTGCTGAAGTTCCGATACCGGAAAATGATGCTCTTGCTCCCCGAGGAGTGGAGATGGGGGAGGATGAGGGGGTTCCAACAGCGGCTGAAATATTGCCCCGTACGGGGAAGTTATGAACCGATTTTAACAGCCTTGTCGGAGAGGAACCGGAGCCTGTTTCCTCTATTATGGATGAAGCAGCGATTGCGGAGCTTAAGACCAAATGGGGGATTCCGCACCATGTCGAGATGTTGTCGGCGGTGGGAGATGATATTGTACATTTTGATCGCCCAGGATGCGTTCTACGCATACCCTTTTATTGTCGGGTATACGCTTCCTCTCCCTTCCTTGGTGGTAGACTTCTGCCGTTTCTACGAAGTATGCCCGGCTCAACTTTCGCCGTACGTATACAAGTTGTTCCTCATGCTGCTCAAGTTCGCGGAGCTTGCCGGTCGGGAGATCACTCTGGGGCATATGCTCAATATTTTTGCCCCTCAACTTATTCGAGGCACGATGATCCACATGCACCATCGAGGAACGAAGAGTCTGGTGGTGAAGATGGACGATAGAGCCAATCGTCGTTTCTGGGAAAGCTACTTTTATGTGCGGACCGAGCACCTTGTGACGGAATCGGCAACGTTCTCTGAGAGGTGGAACTTCGCACGTAAGTTTTTTTGTATCTCCTATCGGAGTGGTGGTCGACCGTTTTTCCTTGGGCAGTATTGTTAAATCGTTTTTACTTTTGCAGCCGAGAAACTACCTCCTACGCCTGTTGACGATATCTACGAATGGGTGAATGCCATTCTTCCCCATACGGTGGGGGTTCACGAATGGGCGTCCTTCTATGAGAAATACGGACGTAAGCCTCTTACTGGTAAGTCGACTTGCTGCAGCTTCTTTGTTTTTCGCCTAGCAATTTGATCTCGTTCCTTATGCGACCTTTACTGTTAACAGGGAGAGTGCGAAGGACGAGGGCTCCTCCGCTTGCATTCCGTCGACTGACATCTTCTGCTCGGCCTGTACCGAGGTCTGCTGCCCGACCTACATCGAGGGCTACTCAAGTTGAACCTACGACCGGAGCCGTGTGCATGGAAATTGTTCCCCAACCTGGGACTCCGGCTCCTACTGCCCGCTCAACGGGTGAATCTTCCCTTGCTGAGGACGGGGAGGGTCCGTCGAAGAGACGGAGAGTGGAGTCCGAAATAGCTTCTTCAGCCGGAATATATTCAGAGGGCGACCTTCTCTTGGCGGTGTCTGAAGTGGGTGGTGGTGCTAACCCGGCCGCAGAGGTAAACCCGACGACCGAGACCACCCTGACGGCAGAGTCTTCGGCTACTGTGATTGATCAACCGGCTACTGTGATGGGAAGTTGGGTCTCGAGGCCGCTGTTGCCACTTTGGGCGGGCATTCATCTTCCGAACTGAGTCATGCTTCTTCTTCAGTCGCAAAGAGGGGAAAGGGTGTCGTGGTCGACGACTATGAGTCTGAATCTGATCTTGATCCTGATGATGTTAGAATGTTCGAGGAGGGCCTTACCCGCACGGTGGTAAGAGCGGGAGGTCCGTCGTGTATACTTGAGATTCCGTCTGAGATTAACCTTCTGCGGGACACGGAAGACTTGGTACCGCAGTTTGACCTTTTGTGCTCTGCCGCAGAGTGTGAGGCTCTTCGGGACGTCTGTGACGTTGATTTGATGCATGAAGTGGCTGCTATGGGCCTGAGGGTAAGT